GTCAATGGTAGGCGAATGTTTGTGATTAATTATTTTTAAAATTGTTCAAAGTACATCTTGCCTTTTCGACGATCTGATCTCTCTCTTTTTTTAATTAGTTGTGAGCTTTAACCTTCTTTTTTTGACGAACCCAGTTTTTTTGGCACCTGAATAAATCATTAAGTAATAAAAAGATTTGGGTTGGTTTAGATGTGATGTACTAGTTTCTTAGATAAGGGAGTCCATGCTTTGGTTTCTCTCATGTTAATCAGTTTAGTAATACAACCAATCCTCAGTTCCCCGAAATTGATTAAACTAGATCATTATTTCTCTGATTTTGGCTATGCGATTTTGAGCTGGCGTGGCTACAGCCTACACAACTAGTACATTAAGCTACATGTTCATGTTGTCTCGTCATTTCTTTTGACTAGCTGAAACAAAGTTGCACATTCTTTTGTCTAGTATTTAGCTTGATGGGGGGGGGGGGGGGATGGTGTCTTATTGACTTTTGGGGGGGGGGGTCAAAATTTCTCTTATGTTTGGATTACTATCATACTAATGTGGCATGCAACATCATCGATGTGTTGCATATATGATCTATTTGCATATATAAGAGTAGAATATTGCAATGATGAGAAAAGAGGAGCATATTGCATGATAAGCTTTAAAGCTAAAGGTTGAGAGTCACATGGACTCCCGTGTATTCCGCTAGTGATCTTCCACCATTGACCCCACTTTACCTTTCTCTCCTAAGATTTTGTTTTTGATTTGGTTAAAAATTTAATAAAGTAGAAAAAGAAGACATAGGGTTCTCTACACCCCAATCAAATCATCTATAAGAATGTGGCTATCTATGCTTCTCTATCTTTCTCAACTCTTTTGCATATAGTAAGTAGTGGTCGTCATTTCCTCTGGTTGCGTTGTTCCCTTGGTGGGTCGTATTATGTCTCTCTGAGGCAGGCTACTTGCACGTGTCTACTTATTTGCATGTTACCCCTTCTTTGGTCAAACCCTATTTTTGTAAGCAGTCAATGCATAGCTGAAAATGTTATGATGTTATACCAAACTAGCTTTCTGTCATTTAAATATTAACTTCATTTACATGTATGCGTATACAATATGAGCCTTAAGGCTTCGCTTTCAATGGTGTTTCTCTCTGGCAGTATGGTGATCAGGACATGTGTTTAAGTGTTCCTGATTGACATGGCCGTCTGTATAATCCTTTGCCTCTTTTGGTTATTATGATGTAGTCATTGCGTTATGACTTTGTAGGCTGTTTTACAATTTAATCAAAAAAATTATGCCCATTGCATGCGTTGCTCATCTTTGGAAAAGATCCGTAGAGTGTAATGTGTTAAATTATTAAAAATTTAATCTCTTAACTTTTTTTTGTTTACAAACTTGGATATTAATCTTAGTTGAGGATTACAAGCAGAAGGCTCATTTTTTTCGAATTACTTGTTTTGTGTTTGCAAACTTGGATAATCTTAGTTGAGGATTACAAGCAAAAGGCTCATCTTTTTCGGATTATTTTAATATATACGTTCTATAATATTGTGTGTATGTAATAATTATTAGGTTAGTCCACTATTTTGTTAGTGCATGACTGACTGAAGTTGAATTCTTTTAATTCGGGAGTAACTACGGTTGCTTTCTCGGACTCAATCGTTCTGTCACACAGTCAAAACTATTATGAAATCAGGCAATGTTTCTTGAATCATCTTTTAAGTGGGGTTAAGTTTGATGTCAGGAAGCTCTCTGTGTAAGTGGGTCAGTAGAGTCGTTGGGGCATATATATAAATGTGCTAATTTATTAAGGAGAGAGAGTAATAGTGAAAAGGAAGTTGTGTTTTGGGGTTTTGTGGAGAGAAAGAACATAAATGTGAGGCGAAGCGTTATTTCCGGGGGTTCACAGAACTTGTATGAGATATGTGTACACGTGTTTTACTCCAATTGGATGATGAAGTAGGGCAAGTGTGGGGGATGTGTCCTCATGTAGACAACACTATTAGTCCTCTCTACTGACACAATGACAATGGAGGTAACTATTCACTGCGGCGGTTTTGATTTACTGCTACACTCAACAACCGTGTGCGTCCTCGAAATTCTCTCTCCCCACACCTCTCTTCATTTCCATTTTTACCCTCTCCTCTAGTTGAGCCACTTAGCCGAGAAGCCAGCTCTAACTTAAGAGCTATAACTTATAGTACTATAATCTATATTGCTTCCATGTTCGTTGTTTTTGTTTAGTTGTGTACTAATTTTCTACAAGCAATATCTACGGTGCATGTGACATATGTATACATCATCTTACTACTTAAAAAGTTACTGATTGACTATCCATTTTGCATGTGCAGAAGATGGCGCAGTTTCATCGGACGAGGAACTGAATGGAGGCGATGAGATACTACAGGATGGGAAACAAATATGCGAAGACCGTGAGCTCAAGGACAGACTGCTTCGCAAATTTGGGAGCCGTATAAGTTCTTTAAAGCTGGAGTTTTCAAAGAAGAAGAAGAAAGGAAAGCTACCAAAAGAAGCAAGACAAGCTCTACTCGATTGGTGGAATGTTCATTATAAGTGGCCATACCCTACTGTAAGCCAAAAACACACTAACCATAATTATTATATATTTAATTAGTGGTGATGATAGACATTATGTGAATGTGTGCAGGAAGGCGATAAGATAGCTTTAGCTGATGCAACGGGTTTAGACCAGAAACAGATCAACAATTGGTTTATAAACCAAAGAAAACGTCACTGGAAGCCGTCAGAGAATATGCCCTTTGCGATGATGGACGACTCTAGTGGATCATTCTTTACCGAGGAATGATAATTATGGTACTTAACGTTGGATTAAAAAAAGAAGAAATGGGGTATTCTTGACATGTTTCCTTCGTATAAATTCTGCTTTGCAATATGCCGAAAAAGAAAGAAAATGGGTACATGAATGGTTATTTACTCAGTCACATGCAGGAAAGAACCAAGGGACAATCCACCAATGCTTTGTAACTATCATTATCGGTGAATAAAAAAGGTTATATTTATAATAATAACAGTTATAAACTATGGTCTCTTCTCAGTTCTAAGGATTTGGAAACTTGCGGCACGATTCAACGTATACTAAATCCAGCCACCAAATTTCTTGGTGGGCTCACAAATTATTATTACTAGGCCGTATACAGTAAAAGTTGGGTCTCATATAATTATTATTCGGCCGATCTCGGCCTATTAACCAAACTGTAACGAAACAGGCTACATATAACTGATATAGCACTGTACATGTAACTGAAACTCAACTAGAGTGATGATTGGTTCGTGGCTTTAAAATTTTAGCTCTAATTTAGCTCTAGATAAAATTTTAGATGTAGGTAAATCAATTGTATCTTAAAATTGTTATTATAAACATTTTATTGTAGAGACTTTTATTGTAATTAAATTTGTTGTACCTTTAAATTATAGGCGGTAGATATATTAAAATAAAATATGTAAAATATATTATGTATATATAAGATAATATTTTTATCAATTAACATAATTTATGTTGATATTTTTTATAAATTATCAAATTTTATAGTTATAAATATTTTTTTATTGTGATGATCAAATTTATAAATATTTTTTTATTGTGATGATCTAATTTATAAATATTTTTTTATTGTGATGATCTAATTTATTTGGTATTATAAATAGTTTATTTACTTTTACAGATTCTATAGCCTATATAAACAAAAGATGTAAGTATTTTGCCTAAGAGTATCTCCAACGGTTGGCTTCATTTTTATTTTCAAATAATCACTTTCTTCAAAATGAAAAAAAAAATAAAGCAACATTCACTACAATGGTTTGCTTCATTTATTTTTTTGTAAAAGCAATATTCTAAATATATTTCAACTCTCCTTTATCATTAATTACTAATGACATTTTCTATTTCTCATTTTTACTAATTTTAGCCAACTGTTTTATTTTAGCATAATACATCATATTTAACATTATATTATAATAAATTATTATAACAAGGATAAATAAATAAATAAATAAATAAAAAATTAGATTTTAATGATCTTATTGGTTTTGAAAATGGTTTACCAGATTATTAAGTGTTAGTTTATGTTGTATTAATAAGTTTTATGTGTTTAGTTTAATTTTATTAATTATGTATTTGACCTTTTATATTAATTATTTAATTTTCAATTTTATATTAGTATATGTTTTAAGTATATTAAATATTTTAAATTAATATGATGAAAATAACAAATGATATTATAAATTAATTGGATTATATTAAAACGTATAGTTTATTTTGGCAAAAGATAAAAGTAAATAAAAGTCAAGGACTATTTTACAATTTCAAAAGTTAATCTTCAAAAAATGAAGATATGCACAGTAAATCTTCAAATTTGAAGCAATATTGTTTACCGTTTCATTTTGAATCAAAAAATGAAGTAGGGTTGAAGCAAAATTTTCCTTAAATTAAATTAAAAAAATGGAGATTAAAAAGGGGATGGAGATACTCTAAGAAAAAAAACTTGTATTATTGTTTTTGTTGTAGCTTTAAGATTAAATTTAAAGCATGATTGATAAAAATAATAATAGAAACTTGATGTAAATTTTAATTTTTTAAGTAAGACTAAACATGATTAATAAAATTTAGTGATTTAAAAATAAATAAAATTAAAGCAGAGAGATAAAACAGAACCAATTAACCTCTAAGTCTTACAGAAAAAGCTCCATTTATGCTAAAACAAATCTTGATTTTCACCCTAAATATAACAAGAAAGCAATAACCATTACCATACCTAAACTGACAAAACATACCAAAATAGATATGTTCTTATCTAATTAACCGGTGTTAATTTACTCAAAATCTTACTAAAAATAACCATTTTTAGCATGCGCATATATAAACTCACCTCATTCCTTTTCATGAAACCTAATTAGTGTTCAATCATTAACACAAGAACGTATATATATTTATACATACTCATCCAATATATATACGTTTCCGTGTATACATTACAATGTCAATCAATTCCCATGTGACCGTTCTCGGGACAATCTTCCTCCTCCTCGTTGCCTCAAGCCAAGCGTTGAAGCTTTCTCTTGGTGACCCGTGCACGGTGGCTGATCATCCAAAATTATGCAGACGAACCATTAAGGGTCAAACGAATGTGAACGCAGCGACAGATATGGCCATAAGAGTGCTAATGAAGCGGACGATGCAAGCCAAAGATATGGCCAAGAAAGAGCCGAAAGGCGACGGAGGAGTCGCTACTTGTTTGTCCACCTTCGATAGCGCGTTTGACAACTTGGCCAAATCCCTTAAGAACATGAAGGAAAATGATGGTTATAGCCTCAACATGAACCTTAGCGCAGCGTTAACCGACTACGATACTTGCATCGACGCAATGGAGGGAACTCAGGAAGCTAACGTCTTCTATAAATCCGCAGGTGTTTTGTATAAAATGGCTGATAACTGTTTGGCACTTTCTACCCTCGTTAAACAATGATTAATTAAGGAGAAACTGGGGATTTCGGGGGCAAGAAAGGATATATATGATTTGATTTTACGGGTTTATTTGTTTGTAATTTTTATTCTTTAATTTGATTCATTTCACATTAGTTGAAAGAGAAAAAATATAAGGAAAGATGTAAAAAGAGGAGGCAGATCTTGTGTGTATGTAGATGCATGGAAAACGTTTGGACACTGGGATCTAATTCAAACAATGTCAAGTTCTGTTTCAGTGACATGTATATGTGTATAATGTTAGCTAGGTGATCTTCTTCTTTTTTATATCCTTCTATTAGAGTTTATAAATCTGTAAAAAAATTGGGAGAGGAAAAACCATTTAACCACAGGCCTCGTACATACTTTGTTGAGTTGTATTTTTTTTTTATTTGGAGGAAGAGCTGCAGGTGAAAAAACTTTTGTCATTTTAATATAAAGAATTTTGAAAGAGGCAATAACTGATGTGTTGCTTTTAATATTTTTTGTTTACCTATTGAGAGGAAATATTATAATTGAAAGGATTAAGTTTAGGTGTTCTATTATTAATAGTAAGAGCCAGTATATAGATATCCTGGGCGCATTTGGAAGGTTTTTTGATGACTATTGACTAGCGATAGAAGCTCCTCGAATAACTGAAGTCTTCACAAAAGAAAAGTCTTTTTTTTGTTGTGTTTATGTTAGATGTGAGACCTTAGGCCATGTTTATTATGTTTATTGGGGATTTTTTAAATGGGTTTTTAGTTTCGGTTAATATACATTTCTTAGTTTTTAAATAAGAGATATAAGACCGTCCACTATAGCGTAGTTAGACAATCTTTAACCGCAATTCCTAGGTAAATCGGATTAGAAACACATTAATAAAGTACGGTTCATTAAGGAGCGGTCCATAATTAGGGGGTTAGAAAGATTGAATCCTTAGCGACGTGGCAGAGTGTGGTTGGTTCGAACTCGAGTTGTGTTTTGGTTTGGTGGAAAAAATTCATTCCCGACTGAACGCATAAAAAAAGCTCTAGGAGATTATAGAGGCGATTTTTTCTCGCGGATAATCAAGGTAAATCGAAGCCTTCTCCTCACAATTTAGGATTCGTTTTGTGTTTTCAATCGTTTTGGGGATCTTTTCATTTGAAGTTAGGGTTTCGAAAAGCTTTATGTTTCAATCGATTTGGGGATTTAGGTTTCAATCGATTAGGGTTTCAGAACGATTTTGGTTTCTATCGATTTAGGGATCTTTTATTTTTATTAGGGTTTCGAAAAGTGTTATGTTTAAATAGATTTGGAGATTTAGGTTTCACTTGATTAGGATATCGAAACGATTTTGGTTTCCATCGATTTGGGGATCTTTTATGTTGATTAGGGGTTCGAAAAACTTTATGTTTCAATCGATTTGAGGATTTAGGTTTCAATTGATTAGGGTTTGAAAACGCTTTAGGTTTCAATCAATTTGGGATCTCTGACTCTGTGATTATTGTTGTTTAACGACATGACTGAATCATCTGCTTGGAATGATTTATTGCAATTGGAGTAGAAATCAATATGGGAATCTTGTGTTCTTAAGATTGTTACTCTGATTTATCTTCTTCTCTTGATTATGATTTACGATTGCGATTGTATAGGAGAACACGTTCTTAACTTTTCATGTCTAACTTTGAGATTTTTTTTCTTCTCTTAGATTATGATTAACATTTGATTTATCTTCTTCTCTCAGGTTAACGAAACATGGGACAAGATTATAGCTACAGTCAGCTTTCTTCATCAAACGGTAGTTTAACCTGACTTATTTAAGAAGAAGCTGACTTGTACGCGGATGAAGATGAGAGTAGCTTCAACATTGCAGTTCCGGTTCAGTACCTGCGTGAACCTGATGTCGAAGATGGAATCTCGAAGTCATGCTACTGTGGTGGTGAGCCTGTTGTTGCAACATCTTACACTAGAAAAAATCCAAGCAGAAGGTACTTCACGCGTGAGAGTGTGTATGAAGGGGACATGCCATGTTTGGAAATGGTGAGATGTGGCGGTTATGGAGGAGATGAGTTGCTTTCAGACACAACTTAGGTAGCTTAAAGACCAAGGTAATGAGAGTGAGCATAAGCTGCTTAAACTAGAGAAGACAGTGTGTGAGTTATCTAAGAAGAAATATGGGGTTACAAATGGCTTTGAATTGCTTGTCTGTCTAATGGGTGGTGTATTAGTTTTAATAGGTCAGCTGGTCATGTTTCTGCTGAGTTAGTTTCTCTCCTTCTGGTTTTAAATGTGATTTTTTTCCATTTTTAAAAACTTTTGACTGTTTTATTTTCCGTTTTGTTGTTTCCGGCATGTGAACAAGTCACGGATCTTTCTGTTTCACCTTTATTTACTTCTATAAGTTGGCGTGAAGCCTCTGTTTAGCCAGCATATCTCCTTCCCTTTGTTTCATCTTCCTTTGAATTTGTAATCCTTTGTACTTTCCTGTATTTCTTGGCTTTTATTGACAAAATTCCTTCACTTTGTACTTCTCAATCTTGCATTTAATCAGTTTTAATCAGTTCCTAGTCTCTTTATCTAAAAAGATCACAAATAAATCTCTTTTTTTTTCTTTCATTAGCGTTGATATGTATTTTCAAACCCAGTTAAGGTTCATGTTGTTTTCTACTAGTCTACTCAAATGATCCTATATATGGACACAAATAAACGTAATACATGTATTTGTAACATTCCTGAGATGCAAACATATATATATGTGGAAGAGAAACAAACATACCATACACACAAATAAACTTACATGTATTTGTAACATTCGTCACCTTCTCATATACTAATTGTTTGTTATTTCCATATAGTTAAAGAATGAAGGCATATAAATTTTATACAATTTCTTTTGGTAATATAAAAATAGTACATTAAATAAGACTAGTTCAACATACAAATTGTGAGACCATCACTTCTTTTGCAATAATTTGTTTTTAAATAATATTTCTAAAAATTGTAATATTTTGTTTCATATTTTTTTTGTTTCAAGGAAGGGTTAACAAGTAAACACAAAAAATGTCAAATCTTATTATAATTAAAATTTTGTGAACGCACAAAATGTCAAATTTCATTAAAATTAAAATCTTGGTTCATATTTTTTTTGTTTCAAGGAAGGAATAGCAAGTGAACACACAAAATGTCATCACCTTTATCCGATGATGTAAAGCGGACTTTTGGAGTATTGCAAGCTTATTTTTCGATTGTGAAAAACTCGGTTCTTTCATTGGACAAGGAAAAGATAGGAAAGATTATGAAAGCATGTATTACACTGCACAATATGATAGTCGAAAATGAACGAGATGAATACACTCAGTACGATATATCTGAATTTGAAGAAAGAGAAGTAAGCAGAAGTTCTCGGGTGGATATGTCCTATAGTAACGACACACCTACAAATCTCGGTAATATGACTGGCATTCGAATTCATGTGCGCGATAGGCGTATACATGAACAATTAAAAATTGATTGAATTAAAAATATTTGGAACAAATTTGATGATGGATATTAATAATTGTTGTATTTTTATATTTAATCATACAATAAATAAAATTTTAATTTCACTTGTTTTAAAATTTATTATTATTTTTATTCTTAAGAATTCCAAATTGGAGAACACTATTGGACCTAAAATTTATGTTAGAATCTTTAACTATTGAAACCAAAAAAAAATTAAAAAAACAGTTTAATAACGTTAACGACTTTAATTACAGTAACACCATTACGGATGCTCTAAAAGCTGGTTTTTAACCGAAAATATATAAATAATAATAATAATAATAATAATAATAATAATAAAAATGTCAAATTATGAGTTAACAACTTTATCTTTATAGCCTCCAATAAACATGCTCTTACAGTATCATTAACTCTAATTTCTTAACTGAGATTCTTAACTCATGATTTGATATATTTTTGTTTTACATTTTTCAACTAAGAAATTCTTTTTATATCTTTTATTTAATAGATGATTTTTAACTTTTCTTATCTAAAATCTAAAAAAAACGATGAACCGTCTTTTAGCTTTTAGCTGAAATTAAAAATATCAATTAAGTGATTCGGGTTAATGATGATCTTATATACTACAACATGGACTTCTCTTGTTAGGCGTGGATGAAAAAGTGGTTGACTGGTCCACTGCTTGGTGTTTTGGTCACCGCTTGTTCCAAATAAGGAAATTTGACCTTGATCGTGTCCTTCTGTCTACTGGCATCATTGAACGTTCTTGTTAAATTAGAACTTCACGTCTCTTGTTCTTATCTTGTGAGTGGTGATTTTGAGAGTGTAAGCATTTTAGGTTCGTTTCTCCTCCGAATCTGACGCGGTGTCCTCACTATTTTCCTTTTATATATTGTTATAACAACTATAGTGTAACAGCCCAGTACCGGGCCTAAAAATTTTGGGAATACTAATGGGCTCCTCTACGGCCCACTTGTCCAAAAACCTAGGGTTCCCTATGTTTTCTTATAAATAGAGCTGCAGCCCCTCCCCTCTTCTCATCCAGAAACTTGTAGCGAAGCTCTGCAGAGATCCCGGGAGACCGAAAGCCCTAGCCGTCAACCTTCTTCNTGTAACAGCCCAGTACCGGGCCTAAAAATTTTGGGAATACTAATGGGCTCCTCTACGGCCCACTTGTCCAAAAACCTAGGGTTCCCTATGTTTTCTTATAAATAGAGCTGCAGCCCCTCCCCTCTTCTCATCCAGAAACTTGTAGCGAAGCTCTGCAGAGATCCCGGGAGACCGAAAGCCCTAGCCGTCAACCTTCTTCTCTCTCTCGCGCCGTCTCCCTCTCTCCTCTCTCTCCGCGCGTCTCTCTCTCCTCTCTCTCTCTTCTCGCCAGCTTCTTCTTCTTCTTCTTCATTGTTCTCCTCGTTAGTTAGATCTGAAAGGTAAGCCTCAGATCTCATGTTTCTCGTTCTTCACATCTATGGTTTGTCACTGGGTGTGACGGATCCGGTTCCTAATCCCTTCTTCCATCTTCTCTTGAGCGTGAAAGTA